GCTGTCTCTTTCTGTGAAAGAATAGAAATAGCCTTAGACAGGAGGTGGTGTCGCGGAGAACGTCTGCTGGTAAAGCCTCAGAGGTAACTGTCGAATTCCCACGGTGAGGCTTTAACGGGGAGGTCTCAGCACCGCTCTCCCCAGCCTTCCTTACAGAGAGCCCCGGCCTCCCAGTCGGAGCAGGCTACAAGCCGTTATCTTCTGTCATAAGAAAAGATTATACTGATAACATAGGGGAATTGCATTCGAACTGGAATAAATTCATCATTTCAGTTGCGCTCTCCTCTCTCTCTTGTTTTTCCTGACCAAAATTACATTACTGGGGCTCGCAGTACTTAACCTGCAGTATCACCATAGCTGTGGTTGTTTACTTGTGTATCTGATAACATATGAGTCAGATATTTTACTCCACTAAGCACATTTTTCGTTGCTGTATGACTCACAAGCTTTTTGTTTGGTGTTGATGCACCCCTCTGTTCCATTTTTTAAACTTTTTTCTCCTTCTCCTTGCACTGGCTGCAGTGGGATGGTGTCTGTGCTGCGGGGCGGCGGCGTTGGCCAGAGCTGCTCGGTCCATCGGCTCTGCCCAGTGGCCTCGGCTTCATCGACACGGCTCGCCTCACCATGGCTGAAAGGAAATCGTTTCGAATTTTATGTGGCCTCTTCCTTGTCAAAATCCCAGCGAATGTGGTTGTGCGATGCCATCAGAATGACTCATTGCCATAATTACATATGTTCTAAGGGGTTATTCCCATTGTGTTATTAAAAACTAGTGATGCTTGATTTTTGGCAGGGACTGTCTTCCTTGTATGATCTACAGATTTTGTCAATTAAATGAAGGAAAAATAAGTTTCCAAGACTTCAGAACAAGACTGGACTTGTACTCAGAGCACTTCTTCAGCGTGATATTGAGCTACTTCGTTATATTTAACAGGATAAAGGCAGCATCAGCCATCTTGCCCTTCTTATGCAGAGCACAAGGACAGAAGTGGGTTTCGTAGCTCGCCTTCCAAATCTCCCCGTGCACAACCAGAAGATGCCGGAGATGGTTTACCACCACAGTAGTTTTCCCAACTCGTTTCCTCAGGAATGGGTTTTCAGGGTGTGGCAGCGGTGCAGGGCAGACCAGGCTCTAATTGGGCATTTTAGCTTACGCTGTAAATAACAATGTGTTATCTTCTCAGTTGCCTCTTTTTTTTTTTCCTGCTAAAATCTTGCTTCTCTTCAAAAATCGTGGAGATGCTGGCAAGCAGCTCCGACTAAACTATGGCTTGACATTCAGCTGGGTATAATATATTATCATGTGTATAAATGTCATTTGTTTGATTTATTTATAGTGACTGGTTAAATACAGAGGGATTTTTTAAATGTTGTGCCTGACATTTCTTTCAGTGAAGACTATTGACTTAATAAAATCTCTGAATATATATATAAAATAGCCCTTTCAGTGTTCTCAGACAATGTAATCCAAATAATAGTATTAGGGATAACCTGTTTCACTATCGTACTCTATTTCCTTTAATCAAAGCTAAGGTTTCTTCTGAGTGAGAAATCATTTTAACATAAACATGAACTAAAATGTATATACATTGCCTCCATCTTCATGGGGGTAGAAAGCTACTAAATTATTGTTTGAGGAGTATGTGTGCACACATTTAGCTTGACTGCAGGAAATTTGTCTGCTTTAGCCCCTAAATCTCAGTGAATGAGATAGAAACTAAACAGTTCCAAGCCCACGATGGTGAGGTGCTAATACGTTATTCCTTGCCCTTTGTTCCCCACTGTGTGGTACAAATCCCCCAAAGCTGAGTAAACTGCCTAGAAACTGTAGGGTTCTGTGCAGTGAATCAACACCGGTTTGTTCTGCAGTAAAAATGAAGAGGTTTTCTGTGCGGTGGAGTTTCTGAGGAGGGTGAGGGTCTGTGTGCCTGCACATCTGGCAGCTCCTTCTGCAGTTCGGCATCGAGGTGCTCAAAGCTCAGACCAGGAATCGGCGCAGGAGCCAGAGCAGCACCGTTCCTGTGCCGTGATCCGTGGCGGCACGTTGGAGAAGCTCTCTCTTTCCTGGCACTTTTGAGGAGTTGGGATTTGGCTCCAGTTTTGGTGATTAAAGCAAACAAAGCTTATTCAGCAAACCTATTTATTTATTTATTCATTTAAAGAAGCATATTTTACAGTGATGCCATGGAGAGAACACCACAACAGATTTTACGTGTTGGGCTCAAAGAGAGCGTTGGTGTGCACGTGCGTTCAGACGCCATCAACCTACCCCAGGAAATCTCTGGCTTGGACTGTTCAGCTCGGTGTGCAAATCACATTGGTCAAAGGCAAAACATTTCTAAATTCACAAAGGAGCCAGCTCTCTGGGAATGGGAATAAGTACAATTCTCGAGCTGATTGAAAAAAAAAAGAAATGGGATTTATTTTTATATTTTCCTCCTAATTTTTCTAAAACAATTTAGTTTTAAAATCACCCATACTGAAAAATCTTCGATTTTCTTAACATGCATTTTAAACTTCCCTTTGCCTTTCTCCATTTTTCTTCTCGTTTTGCCTTGAAAAAGGACATAAGAAGGGAAAAGGCTACAACAGAAATAAGTTTGTCAGTTTTTCTAAAAAACTCTGGAGAGTTCTATAAAATAGGTTGTGTTGATTTATTATATGCAGTTTAGTTTTGAAACAGTTGTGCTGATATTGCCATGAGTTCCTGTAGGGAATCCAGTCAGTTAACAGAGCCTCCGCGTGTAAAACCGTCCTAATGCACTCTCTCTTTTCTCTAATCCTTGTTGAGAACTGGACTGAGATACTGCAGCAGGAGGGACGAGGGGGCCGTTTATGAATGAGCAAGCGGAGGTTCGTGAGAGGGTAACTGATCATTGCTGCTACAGAGCGGAAGGGAAAATGGTTCTGCTTACACGCAACGCCATGGCACAAACAAAATACTTATCTCACAGGCTAGCTGAGGCTAGAAAACAGAGTGAGATCTGATCTTTCAGCTGGGAGGCTTTCAGGAATCGTCTGAACACGATCCATAAACAACTCAGCGGATGACTTTCAAGAACCTCTTTCTCCTCGGCTTGGTATGCTGGTCGTTTATCATTGTGTTGAAATGGAATCCCCTCTAACAGATATAACGGCTTCTTGTTTACTTAAACACAAAGTGGATGATGGGCTGAAAGGTTTTGCTGCCAGCAGAGAGTCACGGAGAGCTTGGTACAGCTCCGGAGCTGAAACAACCGTGCAGCTCCCACGTTCTGCGCTGAGCCAAACCAGCCCCAACGCGGACAGGGCGAGGGAGAGTTTAGGAGTCGTCTGTCGAGCCGAGTCCTTGGCGCCACGAACCTCCGACTCTTCACAGGAGAGGGCCCGCATCGCCGGGTGCGGGTGGGCGGGTGACCCCCTGGAGCGAGCGGGGGGCTCTGCCGCCATCCCTGCACGCCCGCTGTCTCGCTTTGCCCTCCAGAACCACAGAGCAGAGCGGGTGGCACGAAAGCAAGTGCAGCAGTGATTGTATTCTCCGGGCTTGGCTCTGGGGTGAGCTTTTCCCTGCCCATCACCTCACCAGGGGAGCAGAGAGCTTCAGCAGCACGTCCCGATCTGCCGCAGGCCCATCCCTGGAAGCCACCACAGCTGCCCCGGCTCTGTCCCTCAGGCCCAGAGGGCTTCTGTAGAACTCTAGAGAAATTAAATGCCTGCCCTTATTTATACCGAGAAAGCACTTCTTAAAATATAAGGGGAACCGAGCCACCTTGTGACACTGCTGAGGGTAAAGCTCTCTGTGCAGAGAAGGCAGCGTTCACGTGTGCCTCCGCGGGTCTCGCCAGGTCTCTGTCCTGCACGGTCCTCGTCCTGGTTCCTCTGCCCTGGTGTCGGTTCTGGCAGAGCAGGAGCGCTTGTGCTGAATCCAGGAAATTCTGGTCAGTGACATGCAGACCAGTAGTTTCTACCAAACTTAAAAGTTTGCTTCTCTTGGCTGCAGAGCCCGAACTGTGCCTTCCCCCTCCCGCCTGCCTTCCCTCCTGCCATGCGCCTGGTGGTGTCCAGGCAGACGGACGAGTGTCCCTACCCCAGGATGGAGTCCCCCAGCTGTGACTGTGCAAGCGAAGTCACAATATTTCGGCAACCTGCAGTTTGTTGCAACCTCTCATTTTCTCAATCTGCTGCCTGTTAACTGGATTCTTCAGTGGGAGACTCCTCAGGGGCTCCGCAGAGCTCGGCTGGGGTCCTGCGAGCACAGGACGGCTGATTTGTGGCTGCAGTGCAGCTGGCAACGTTTTCTGGGATTCTCTTAAAGCTTTGGTGACTTTCCCTTCCAAAGTGAATCTCTGTCCTGTGGGACACCAGCCTCCATAGGGGCCAAGGCATGAACCACACACTCAGGAAGCTGGTTGTCATTTTTGTTTTGGTTTTTTAATTTGAAATAACTCTTTGAAGCAGATTCAGGGCAGATACCACTGACCTCGTACCACAAACGTTTAACATGTATTCGCAATGATAAAGTCATACAGCTTAAAACACAAAATAAAGGGTGGGGGGAAGAGAAAGAGGCCACCGCCTTTGTGTGAGTCCAGGTCCCAGGTCGGGGAGAGCGGCCACACGGGTCTGGTCTCGTCCCTCTGGCTGCGGCCGCGCTGTGCTGGGGCCACGTGCCTGGTCTCAGGCTGAGGCCTTTGGTCACGAAGTCTCACGTCCAGGTCCTTTGCTGACTCGTCCTCCACCTCTCCTCCCTGCAGCGTCCCGGCGGAGCCCTGGGGAGGTGGGATCCCTCCATGTCACTCCCACTCCTCGGCAGTGTCCTTCTGCGATCCTGGGTGGTGTGTGTGTGTGCAGCCTCCTTAAATATTGTGTCTGTGGTTTCCGTCGGGTCCGTGGGTCAGTCTGGGAGTATATGTCTGTCTTTCTGGACATACATACGTGTTGTGTAGCAGTGCTCTGGTTCAATAAAGCTTTCATATACATAGCAGCAATGGAGTCTTGCCATCAGTGACGTAAAGGGGCAGCTACTGGGCAGGGCTAGCAGACGTCGTGGGGACCGCGGCCCCTCTCTGTTTGCTCTTCCTCCTCTTGGTGCCAGACTTAGCATCTTTGGTGTCTTTCCGATTCCTGTTCCCATTCGCGTTATCTTGCTTTCCTTGCTCTTCCTTTTTCTTCCTTTTCCCTGCAGCAAAGCAAAGGGGCACCGTGAGGCTCTGGGGCAGAGTGAGCTGGCCCGTGGACAGCTGCTGCCAGGGCTGGCCCAACGGGCCTGCGCCCCTCCCTGTGCCGGGAGCTGGCCGAGAGCCGCATCGCGAGCTGCTGCCTAAACACAAGCAGGGGAGAAGGATCAAATCAGGATTTAGCTTTCCAATTGTCGGTCTCCAGCAGAAGCGCTAACACTTGCATTTCCCAGCCCCTCAGCTAGCACCCAGTGCCGTGGGCATCCGAGGAACAGAGCGGCCATGTCTGCCTGCCCCTGCCTGGCCGGTCAATCCCCGTGGAGTTAGTCACTGCCCAGAACCGGTAACTCTCCAAACACTCAGCCCAGCTGCGATCCTTGCCCATCCCATAAGAGGATGACCAAACCGCCATTCATCCATCTATTTCCTGGGGAAAACACAGACTGAAGACAACTCCCCTCACCACAGCGCACGGGCACGCGCTGTCAGCCGCTCAGCTGCCGCGCTGCTCTCTGGCCAGGGAAGAAGCTAAAATACCTGAAAGCCCACGGGACCTGCAGCAGCCGTGCTGAGCATCACCCCCCGGGGCTGGGCCTCTTCCAGCCAGGGTCTGTCTAGCTGCCATCACCTTGTGCTCCCTGTGCCACAGAGGGGTAGTGAGAAGCACAGCGCGTTTATGATACTGGACAGTCGACCGAGTACTTGTGCTTGACAAATAGAGCGTGCTGGGGAGGGATGGTGAGATAATCCACGTCTGCTCACCTTCGGGGCACTGGTTCTTCTGCACAGTGCATCGCCGCACCTCCGTGGTGGGAGGACACAGGGACACGTCTCCGGAGGGAGCCTGCAGAATCCGCCGCGTTCGGTCTTCATTGCCCTTCTTGAAGCCACAGAGCTTCCTCTTCTTGGAGCAGGGCCCCCAGGGCCCCCACTCACTCATTTCACATTGTGCTGCCAGACAACAAGAGAGGCCGACAGTAACTCTCATTTCTCCGTTGCCTCCTCGGGACTCCCCAGAGCCCTTCCACACCATCACACCTCTCCCCCACTCTAGGCTTGAAGGGCACGTATGTTCCCCTAGCAGGGAAAACTGGCCTGTGCTGTCACCCGCTCGACACAGGGATGATGGGCATCATCTCTGAGGGTTTTGCTTTATCATCTAAGCCAAACTGTAGCATCACATGTGACTGGACCCGACAGACACACAAAAAGCTCAGGGAAAAGTGCCCGAGCGTCGCTTACCAGGACTGCTGCACTCCATGGTGCCGTTGGCAGCAGAGTAGCCTTCGGGGCATGTGACATAACATCTCCCTTTGTGCAAATACAAACCTTCTTTACATTTTGTGCAAAAGTTTCGACTGAAACAGGACTCACAGTTCTCGATTTTGCATTCTAGGGGAAAAAAAACAAACGTAAAGCCACTCAAGGTATGTTGGCCATCAGCATCATATATTCTGGGGTTATTCCCTGGGTAGATCGCTGCCCTGCTCAGCAATGCCTTCTCCCTGTTGAGCCAGCCACAGCATCGCCTCGCACCTGACCAGAGGCAGCACGATCGCCTGCACCCTCCCGCGTTTTGCCCGTTGCCTCCCAGCCCATACTCACTGATGCACTTGTTCATGTCGGTATTGCGAAGGCCAAAGTATCCCAGTGGACAAGATGGTAGGCAAATCCCGATTTGCCGAATGTCATTCCTCTCCAGAAGAATGAAGAGCTTGGGGGAACATCTCAGGCACCCATTGAACTCAGAGCACAGGTCGCAGCCTCTGGCACAGCCCTGACTCAGCTCGGTGCTGACTGGAAGAGCAAGAGAGGAGCAGCGGTTAGTGCCCAGGCTCTGCACGCACCGGCTTCAGCCCCGAAACGCCAGCACCCCTGGCAGGAGGGCAGGGACCGAAGCAAACTGAGGGCTGGGTCCTGCTGCACTGACGGGCTCGCTGCAGCTCCAGCACAGCTCCGGTCGGGGGTCCCGGCCCTGCACCCGGTGCCCGTGGGTTCCAGAGCTGCGTCGAGCACAGGCACGAGGGTCCCAACAGCAGCAGCGGAGAGGAGCAGGACCCAGAAGCAGCCACCAAGTCCACCCAGAGCCCAGTGCTGTCTCCTTCCCAGTGCAAGCTACGGGCACAGTGCAGGACAAGCGGGGACCGGAGCCATGCGGTGCTGGAGCAAAACCCTCTGAGCAGCTCCGCGCTGCGAGCCAGGCAGCATCCCGAGCAAGATCTCGCTCTGGCCGCGCTCATGTCAGCTCTGTCTGGCAGCACAGGAGATTTCACTGCCCCTGAAACAGAGATGTGTTCTCAGCTCCTAAGCTCAGTCCAAGAAAAATACTCAGTCCCATGTCTTGAGAATTTTCTGCTTTTAATTATCATTTTAAACGCTGCTTGTTTTGAAACCAATAGCATTCTTTGCAGGCTAGAATGCAGGTTATTTTTATTAGTTTATTATGCAAGCAGTGTCCTTGTTTATAGAAAAGCTGTGTATTTAAAAAACGTATTCTTTTAAATACTGTGTTTACTACACTTCAAAAGCAAGGCAGAGCACTGCAGTGTTCACATGCCAGACTGAGAGGTAAGAAAACTTTCCTCTCCCCCTGCAGTGACCCGTTACCCTGGCAGCTCCCTGGCTGCCTGTCCTAGCCCCGTCACTGGGGCTGTGGGGGCGGAGGCTG